TTGATGCACCTTCAAACTCAGCTGGGCTGCTCCGGCCTGTATAAGCAAAATCAAAGCTGCACACGGAATCATCACGCAGCTCGGGTTTGCTCGACACATGCTTGTCGGCTTTGGCGCGGAACTTTACACAGTGCGGGCACCAATCTGCAAATGGCACATGGCTGAGCTCGTGGCGACGCTTCTGCTCTGCAGTTGGCTCTTCGACAAACTTTTGTTCAAGAGGCAATGGCACACCATCAGTCTGGAAAGCATGTTGTTGCAGCAACTCCTGGGTTTTCAAGTGTTGCTCGATCCTCGCGAAGACCGTTGCCTTTCCTCCAGACTTGCCTATTCCAAGAACTTCACAGGCCGACCTTAGGGTCTTAAGGGTACACCCGGGATGCAACTCAACCCCATTGACCACAACATGACCCTGGGAAGGAACTTCGGCGGGAGGCACAGGTCCTACACCGCCACCGTCATCATCCTCAGCATTTTCATCCTCCTCAATCATGCTTTCATCAGGCGGTGCATCAGCATACTCGCCATCATAACTTTCATCATTCCACGGAACATGCTGCTGACCAAACAGCTTCTCAACTTGCAAAGGATCAACAGAGCCGATGGTGATGATGTGGCGGGACCCTTTAGGCTCAAACTCCTTCTCAAGATCATCAAAGAGGCTGGTCAAGCAGTTGATTTCAATCAGTTTCCATTCGGCACCATCGTACTGAAGGGTCGTGCGAAAGCTCACTCCGTGGTGGCCCAAAGGCACTGACACATCAAGAAACCGATTCGACTGATCTTGCCTAGCAAAAATTCCAGGCTGCATCTCCGTGTATTGGCTACCCAAGTTCAGCCATGCACTTCCAAGCTTGATTGCACGCACAGCAGCAGCATCGGGGCCGCCTGCTTCACCGCTCTGGGGCACCTCGACCTGTTGATCCCTGCCGTGCGCATATTCATCATCAAGCTCGCCCCCTTCGGAAAGAGGCGTGGCTTCCTGGGGCTCGTGGACTGCATTGTCCTCTCTGTCATCGTTCAAACAGTCGTTGGCACATACTACCACGCTCATGATGGAGCCTCGCGCATGCAAGGAATTGTGCCGGTAGTGCATAGGCACGCGCACTGTGCCCCCAGGATTTGTCAAGTAAGGAACACCGTCACTGTGGATGATGTCCCATCCCCGCCTGAGCAACTTGCCAACACTGAAAAGCGGCTGTGTCACACTGCTCAACAGCCACCGCTCCTTAAATTGAACACCGTCAATCTCAAGCACTGCCGTACGCATTTGCGAACCCCTAATCGTGCGACCCTGGGCATCCCTGAAACTATCAAGGCTCGCTCCATCAGCCCTTCCAACATGTGCCCAAGACAGTGGCAAGCATGAGGCATCCGACCCGGAGTCGACCACAACCTCAATCTCGTTGCTCATGTCTGCCCATGACACGGCACACACACGAAGGTCCTGCAGTGGATGCACAGGTGGGCTCACAAGATGCTCAGCGGCACTCTCGCACGGTTGCACCGTCGGCTCGCACTGCAATGGCTGCCGTGATCGCCTACTTTGCCTTGCATGGCTGCGGGCTGGGGCCCTGCATGTCACATACTCTCGTGCACTGCTCAAACAGCCCACACAGGCGGCTTCACGCATCTCATTCGGCACTGTCCAGACACAGTCACTGTCTGAATATGACATGTCAAACACTTCAGCTTCTGGCACCGGCACAAGAACATGTGGCTTCAAAGGGTCAACGCATGCAGACGCCAAAGACTCGCACAGTGAAGCAAAACTCGGCTGGGCAGTAGCTGCAGCTGGATCCTCAGGGCACACTTTTGTCAAAACACGCAAGTGACCGCTGATCTCATCATCATCCTGAAACGCACTGGAAGTCATGTCAATCTCAACTCTCGCAACACGCTTCGCTGTGGTAGCCGTGCTGCCTGCAACCTGCGATGCTGACGGACCAACTGTGCTTGGCGCCCCAACGGTGGACGCTGTCTCTGAACCTTGTGCCTGAACCTGCTGCACCCTCGGACGCCAGCACTCAGAAGCATAATGGCCCTTGCGCTGGCAATTGTGACAAACTACATTTGCACGGGAACCCTTGGCACCAGGATTCTGCGGCTGCTGTCCACCTTTGCCTTTGTGCTCCTTGCCTTTGTTGTTCTTGCCCTTTGGCCTGCCATCTTTGCCCTTGCCCTTGCCACCATAAGGATTCTGCGGTTGCTGTCCGCCTTTGCCTTTGCGCTCTTTGCCATCTTTGCCTTTGCTCTTGCCCTTTGGCCCCTTTCTTTGAAGCGCATCAACCTCCATCGGGACTGGGCCTTGCTCGACAGAACTGGGCAAAGGCACTACACCAAAGCTTGGTGCATTTTAGCCGGAGTCCAAGACGTTGTCGTAACTTCATACCCCAGAACGTAGTCCCTGATGCTTTGGTAATTACTGAGTCTGTCATCTGAAGTTGAACGTGTTGTTTTATCGCAGAGGGAAGGGACCGAACTAGTGTGCCTAGCATAACCTCTTCCCCAGGATCGTGTCCCTCTCTCTGGGGAGGGTGTTCCAGGACTCCACTCTGTAGTAGCTACGAGGCTAGTTTCGAGACATAGGGTAGAATTCGATACTCGGAGGGTCTGTCGATTTTGAGGGCTGGAGGCCGTACGGTTCGCGATCTTAGGGGCTCCAAAGTGCTTGCAAAACGGGCGCGCGCGGCATCGGAAGCACTTCGAGGGCACGCGGAGGGTTCGCGAGCTGCTTGGAGGCGCTCCGTCGTGCTCCGGAGCTGTTTAGGAGCGACGCGCGCTTGCGCGCGCTTGTTCGGCGCGGAGGGCGTGGGAGCAGCTCCTAAGTTGCTCGTAGGCAGCCGGCGAGTGCTCGTGAGTTGCAAGCAAGCAGCTCCTAAGTTGCTCGTAGGCAGCCGGCGAGTGCTCGTGAGTTGCAAGCAAGCAGCTCCTAAGTTGCTCGTAGGCAACCGGCGAGTGCTCGTGAGTTGCAAGCAAGCAGCTCGTGAGTTGCAAGCAGGCAGCTGGTGAGTGGCTCGTAGGCGGCTGGCGAGTGCTCGTGAGGTGCAAGCAAGCAGCCGGTGAGTTGCAAGCAAGCAGCTCGTGAGTTGCAAGCAAGCAGCCGGTGAGTTGCAAGCAAGCAGCTCGTGAGTTGCAAGCAGGCAGCTCGTGAGTTGCAAGCGAGCAGCCGGTGAGTTGCAAGCAGGCAGCTCGTGAGTTGCAAGCGAGCAGCCGGTGAGTTGCAAGCAAGCAGCTCGTGAGTTGCCGGCAAAGCTGCTGGCGAGTGCTCGTAAGTTGCCAGTAAGCAGCTCGCAAGCTGTCGGCGAGCACTCGTCGGCTGCTGGCAAGTGGCGCGCCCTTAAAGTTCCTCTAAAGCCCGTTTTGCAAAGACTTTAGAGCCCCTAAGATCGTCAGAGCTGCGGGCCGTAGGCCCGCGAATCGACAGTGCTCCAAAGTACCGAATTCTACCCTATGTCTCGAACTGAGGCTTGTAGCTAACACAGAGTGGAGAGCTGGAACACCCTCCCCAGAGAGAGCAAAAATAGAACTTATTCCTTATTTCTTGGCCCGAAGAGCCGACTGACAAAACTGACAACCTGACAAGCCTTTTCCCCGGGCCCAGAGATTTGTGCTTCGCCTCGATGCCCGGCAGATCCTGCTGAAGGTCTCATGCAGGCAGCGGAAAGCCCGCTTCGGTCAGCGCTTCTCGGTGTTGCTCCGTTGCCCGAGCATAGGCTTGCGGAACATAAGCTGCGAGTGCCCACATGCTGCCCTCGTGTGGCTCCACCATGTGATAGCGGCGAGCATCGAAGCTCACCGGCTTGTCGTGCATATCCAGCCACCGCCCCCGCAGCTCCCGCCCCCCTTTCTTGTCGGCCAGCCAGGCCGTGGAGTCCCCCTCGTCATCTTCGATCCACACCCGCCCTCCTGTGTACTCGCCCAGAGCCAGCGCGTGATTCAAGTGCCCGGCCATGTTCTGAATGTCACGGTGCAAGCCCATGCGTGGATTGAAGAGCACGGCGATGGAGGTCCAGGTGCCGTTCGGAAAGCGGCTCTTGAGAAAGCTGTTCACGGCTGCACAGGCTGCCCGCAGGCCCGTGGCATTGGAGACCCCGACCACCCCGCCGTGCCCGAAAAGCCCCAGCGTGGCATATCGCTCGTAGGCCCCCGGCCCCACCGCCCGAGTGCGGCCCCGGTGCTTCCAGTCCGCCGACCACAGATCCAGCAACCGCACGAGGTTGGCTTCGGTCGGCTCCTCCGTGGCGTTCCAGCACGCCAAATCCATTTTTTACATTGACAGCATTTATCACCAAAAACACGCATGCCCCTAAAACACCATGCCGCACCCCAATTTTTCGGCATTTTGAAGCCGCCCGGGGAGGGTGCGCCCCGACGGGCCCGGGCAGCCGGCCGTTTTGCGAGCCGACCACGCACCGGCGAGAGCCCGATTTCGGTCTGTCCCCCGCCTAGGGTTTGAGCACGTTTTCGGCCGGATCGTCCCTTTCCTGTCAAATCGGTGCCGGCAAGCCCCGGAACGTGCTCGGGGAGGGTTTAGGATGGGTCGAACACAGCCACACGGAATCGCCAGGCATCACGGAACCGCCGCGGCCCCGATCTTCGGGGTGCGCCCTGCCTATGTTTCACACACCCTCCCGGGCCCGCCGGCCAAAAGCGACACAGCTTGCCGGGCCGTTTCACACCAAACTGTGGCGAGAGCGCGATTTCGGTGGATACGTCCCCTAGGTTTGGCTCAAGTTTTCGTGGCTGGGTGCGCTCAGTGTCGATCCGCGGCGAGCCTGTGGCCGCCGTCGACCTGATCCGTGGGGGTTTAGGATGCTCACAGATGCTCGCTCGCCTTTGCTCACTGATGCCTTTTTGTTTTTGATTTGTAATGTAGCTAGGCCCGCCGACTTTTGCAGTAACATTTTGCTAACGTCGTGGTGTCGGCTGCAGTTGCATTCGCCGAAGTTGGCGGTCTTCTGATCCGAGATGAGGTGCAGGCCGGTCGCGGGGGCCGGATGCCTACCTGGGACACTCGTTTGAGCGGAAACCTTTTGGTGTATCGCGACGGATGTCTCGAGGGCGACGTCGGATGGACTGCCAGCAGCACAGTCGGAGAGGTGATTGAGTCGGCCGGGGCCACTTGCAGCTCCGGTGGCGCCGACAGGTTCGAGGGCTGGGTCGTGGGGCGAATGGAGCTCCATCTGTCAAGTTGCGGAGTTCGTCGCTCGTTTGAGGCGACTCTGGAGGACACTGCTCGCGATCACATGGATGTGGCATTTCGGCTTGTTCTCAGAGGGCGCTTTGCTCGTGGAGTAGCTCGTCAGCTCGCCCGCCAGCGACGATGATCGAAGTGCAGCATCGAGGGTTTTTAAAAGTGTGCCGCGTGGGTTTGTCCCTCCGAAACCCTTTCGGCCCTGCTGTAGGTTGCTCACCATCTGCCCTGCAAGTGTTTTGCAAGTGAGTGCGCATCGGAGTGAGTCCCGAACCCGCTAGGCCCTCCCTTCGGCCCTGCATTGAACTTGTTGGTTTCCGCGCTCGCTTTCTCAAGGAGTGTAGGGTAGGGGCGGGGGGGTTGCCGGGCGGGCGGTGGGCGGGCGGGCTTTCGTCGCTGGGGCCTCAGAGTGTGGGAGTCTTAGGAGTGCAGTGTGTTCTGTAGGATTGTGGCCGAGTGCGCACAGGAGGGCCCTGCGCTGCCCCTCCCGTAAACTAGAGCGCTTGCATTCCCGGACCCTCGCTCCGCCCAGGCTGGACCTTCTTCGCGCTGTGCCGATCCTCAGAGTGCTGCCGGGTTTCTTCCGATTTTGGAAGGGTTTAAGGTTTGTGGGGTCGTGTGGCCGAGTGCGCGTGCAGGAGTGCCTGTTGCTGCCCCCGCCCCGCCCATAACTAGAGTGCCCTGCAGCCCGCCTCGTCCCGGGAACCCCGGGCCCCCTCCTTCGCTCTCAGGTGCGTCCTCTTCGCTGGTTTGGTGCTGCTTGACATCGCTTCGCCTGGAGCCGAGAGTTGCCTGCACCTAGTTCTTCGGAGCCTCTGTGAAAGCAGTCGCTGCATTCGAGCTGTGTGCAATCAGATCTTCGAAGCCTTTGCGAAATTGGTTGCCACAGCATTTTGCATTCGAGCACTGTGGTAGCTGGTAGGAGTGATGGCCTCCTTGCAGGAGGCGCAGGCCCAGCTGCGCGAGGCGGCGCAGAACCTCGTGCTCTCGTCATTGGATGAATATGGCCGGCTGGGCTGCAAGATGGTGTCAGATCAGGGGCAGCCCCAGCGGAATTTCGATTCTTGCGACGCCTTCGTCAAGGCCGCCTACCGCAAGATGGTGCTGCTGGTCCATCCCGATAAAAACCAGGGCAGTGAGAAGTCGCATCTTGCGACGAAGGCCCTGCAGGCCATCTGGGAGAAGCGGCTAAGTCTGAGCCAGTACGGATGGGACATGTTTTGCTCGCGGAGCTTCCGTTTTCTACTAGAGGATCGGTTCGCGGAAGCAGAGGCCCGCGTGAACTCCTTCAAGAACGCTGCCGGCAGGCGGACCTTCGAACTTCACCGGACCTGCCGGTGCCCATGCTTCCGGCTCTGCTGAAGCCCCTGCTGGCTCGACCGAGGGCAATGCTGGGAGTGCCGGTGCCCATGCTTCCGGCTCTGCTGAAGCCCCTGCTGGCTCGACCGAGGGCGATGCTGGGAGTGCCGGTGCCCATGCTTCCGGCTCTGCTGAAGCCCCTGCTGGCTCGACCGAGGGCGATGCTGGGAGTGCGGCCGGCTCTGCTGAAGCCCCTGCTGGCTCGACCGAGGCTTCTTCCGGGTCCCCTTCGGAGGATGACTTTCACGAGGGCGACGAGGGCGAGCCCACGCACTTTCCGCCCAAGCAGACTCAGCCCAGCTCTCTCAGGACCCGCTGGGAACCCGTCAATGTGCAGTCGCTGGATGAAGCCCTCGGCAAAGACGCCGTGAGACGCTTCACCGAATTCAGCTTGTACGAGGTGCTCTGGTCAATCAGGACCCGAGTCCGATCCATCCGTGGCAGGATCGGCTGGGTCTTCGTGACGGAGCAGGATGGCGATGCGCCGCCGGGCATGAGGGCTCGACAATACAGCGGCGTGGTTCTGCCCCCTTTGGTCAAAGAGACCGCGGCGTCCAGAAAGAGGAAGGCTGGTGCGAAAGAGGCGGGCCCAAACGAGGCCCGGAACGAGCTCATCGCAAGCCTGCCGCAGCAGTTGCGCCAGGAGTTGCAGCAGGGCGTTCCCGACTGCCTCGTCGGCAAGAGCTGCTTCGCTTTTCCCAAGCTTGTGCGCTACATAGCACGCAAGGACCTGGACGTCGTGGAGGTTGACGCGGTCAATGCGTACTTTCAGCACCTGGCTCGCGGCTTTCCCGCCTCGACTCCACTCCAGAACTACGTGGCACATCGCGACGAGGTGCTCGGGAGGATCTGCCAGGCTTTTGGAGTTGATCGCGACCAAGCCAAGCGCCTCGTGATCGCTCTGGGGTTCGGCGGCTCGCTGAGCAATTGGTGCTCCGAGACCATCGGCTACATCCCGGAGGACGATGACCCCCAGGTCGGCGAGTGCTTCAGGGAGATGCAGGATTTCGAGGCGGCGATGAGGGAGATCCATCGCCAGGTCGTCGGAGCCATGACGCCGGCTCAGAAGGAGCATCTCCGCGGGCGCTCTTGGGGTGGGGCGTGCTTCTTCGACTACCAGAACGCAGAGCGAGCGCTGCTGGACGTGATGATGGCCTCTGCAGGGAAGGATTTGGTGTCCGGCGAGCACGACGGTGTGTGTGTCATGCGACAGGCCGCACAGCGTGTCCAGGAGGCCGCCCAGGCCGTGAGTTGGGAGGTGGCGACCAAGCCGCTGCCGTCGCCTTGGGAGTTCGCTGCCCGGGAATACCCGATGTTCGACTGGGACGTGACGGCCCGCATGCCGTTCCGGAAGTTCCACGAGCTGCGCGGCAGGGTCATCAACCATGCCGTGCAGGGCGAATCGGAGGTGCGAGCCAACACCGCGGACGCCGTCCGCTACGTGGCCGAGGTCCTGCGCGAGACCGTCAACGTGCCGAACAAGCCGGACGAGCGAACCAGCTCATACGAGTTCTTCACGAGCCAGGGGTTTTGGGTGGAACGACACATCGACTGCTTGCAGAAGCAGATACAGGAGGTGCTTCGTCAAATCGGCCGCCACCCTCTTGCTCGGGAGGAGACCCGGCCGCTGAAGCCTTTCAATCGCGTGGACTTCTCCCACAGCCTGGGGTCCGCCGTTTTGGCTCAGCTGGCGGAGCGCACGATGCCCTCCCTGGACGGCGCGCGCATCAACGGCCTCCTCCTGTGCAGCGACGGCTACATCCTGGACTTCAACGAGGGGGCCGCCCAGAAGTGTCGGCGAGCCAGGCCTTCGGATCGCCTGGGATTCATTGCCAAGGCCCTCTCCAAGATCTGGCAGCCCAAGAACCCCAGCGGGCTTGGCCGGCTTGTGCGAGATTTCCTGGAAACCAAGGCCAAGACCCTGGAGGAGAACGAGGCCGGGCAGAAAGTCATCGAAGAGTTCGAGCGGCTCTTGCATGAGGAGAAGTGCGAAGTCCTCTCCGTCCTGAAGAACTACGCGATCCTGCGGGAGAAAGTGGACGGCGTCATGACGGAGACGATCGACTGGAACTGGGTCCTTTGGGTGCTGCGTTTCATCTCTCGCGGCATCCTGGGCGAGGAGCACCTGTGCGAGTTGCTGTACCTTTGGGGGGGCGGCAGCTCCGGCAAGGACGTCCTCAACCTCCTGATCTTCGCCGTGCTGGGCTTGGGGGCCGAGAACCTGGGGGTCATGCTGCCCGGGCGCTACCTGGTCGCCGGCGGCCACCCGGCCAACGAGAACGCCAGCCCGCTGCTGGCGCGCATGGAGCGCAAGAGGGCCGTGTGGGTGAGCGAAGTTCCGCACCACACCCACTTGAATGAAGATTTCGTCAAGCCCTTCTGCGAGCAGGGCGGCGCTCCGGTTCCAGCTCGCCGACTCAACAAGGCGCCGCGCGACTTCATCCCTACATCCGTGCTCCTGGCTACCTCCAATCATCCGGCGCAAGTGGAGCGGAAGTCCATGACGGAGGATAATGGGTGGGACAGGCGCCTGCGGCTCCTGGAGACGAAAGTCAAGTTCACGGCCAAGAAGGAGGACCTGGAGTGCAACGAGATGAAAGCCGACGACAACCTCAAGGCCCGCGTGAACCTCGGTCACTACAACGCCTCCCTGCTGTTCCTCGTAGGCGAGCTCTACCCGACCTTGAAGCCCCGCTACAACGAAGGCACGGAGTTGGTCCCGAAACCCGCGTGCATGGAGGAAGCTGAGAAGGAGTTCGCGTCCAAGCAGTCGGGCAACCAGTTCAAGCAGTTCGTCAAGGACCGCTGCGTGCGGGTGGAGCAGAAGATCGAGGCCTCCAAGTACACGGACTTCTGCAAGGAGCTGAAGCTCTACCTGGGCGATTTCATGCAAATGGTCGAGGTCAGGAAGCTTGCCGGTGACAACGGCTTCGTGTCCTGCTCGAACGGCTCCGAGCGGGTGGTCATCAATACCGACGGCCCCTGGCGGCTCAAGACGCAGGAGGAGCTCAAGGCGGAGCTGGAGGCCCAGCAGGCGAGGAGGGCCGCCGAGACTTTCTTCGCCCCCCAGCCGTAGCTGCCGTGAGATTCTGAATTCATGCTTGGGCAGCGGCTTTGCCGCGGAAGCAGCATTTTCCTGCTGCACTTCCGCCAGATGGCGAGACCTGCCGTACCCCGCCCGTAGCTACGAAGGCTTTTCCATGGGCTTTTAATCCTTTGCGGTGCTCCCTACAGGGCAAAAAGCTTTTGGAAGCTGCAGAGGTGTTTCGAGCATGCGCGAGCTCCTCCTGCGTGCAGCAGGTACAGTTTTGGGCTCGCGAGCTCCCGCTGTACAGTACAGAACCTCTGTTTGGGAGGTGTTCCCGATGCTGAACAAGCGTCGATCACATACCGGTTTAGGGCTGTGAAAACATTCCGGTGCCCCTTCTTGTTTTGAGCCGTTGTGCTGGAGTGTGCTTGAGTTCTTTGAGCCCGTCCCCTGCTCAGGTCGGGATGCTGGACGAGGCCTCCCCCTTTTGCGTCACTGCTCGTAGGATGGCGTGCGGCTAAGCCGAGGACCGCAGTGCTTGTGCGCTTGAGCCGGAAGTGTCTCTCAACTTGGCTGCGATTCCTGGCAGGTCTTGAGTTCACCACGCGACAGGATGCCCGGAGCCCGGTCCCGTTGTGCTCGGCCCTGCTCAGCCTTGCGCAGCCTCACTCGTACCTTGCGCGAGTTTTGTGCCCTCTCGAGCTTTAGCCCCGACTCGTAGCTGCCTCATGGCCTGGAACCTCGTCCTGAAGTTCCTGACTGAGACGGCCGTGGAGCCTGTCGAGCACCCGTTTCTCGACATTGGCGTGATCGGAGAGCCGGATATCGACCGTGCCCTCGACCACGTCGACGTCTTGTCTCAAGTGGCTGCCTGCGATGCTGACTCCCGTCGCGAGCTGCAATCCCCTCTTGCGGATTGGCGTGCGGCGCTAGGGCGCATGACTTCGACCGAGATCGGCCAACGTTTGTCCTCCCTCGGCGAGCACCCGCTGCGGGGACGGCTACTTGCAGCAGCGGAGCGGATTCGAGGGCTGCTTGGGGACGCTGCAGCCCGACAGTTCGCTTGGGATGCTGCCCATGCCACGTGGCGCGATCCTTCGATTCTCTTGAGGCATGAGGCGGAGTTACAGCTGGTGGAGACCGAGCTGGACGTGATGGAGTCTGAGCTGTCGGGACCGCCGTAGCGGCGCTGTGCAGTTGCTGCCCCTAGCAGGTCTAGCGTGTTCGACGTACAGGAACCGAGCCGCTCAGGCAACTGCCCGAAGAAAAGAAGCTTCACGCATGCCGTAGGTCTTTTCAGCTGTTGATAGCTCGCCCTCAGGTCCTTCATCGGTGCTCGAAGCTACTCTCTGTGCTTTCGACGCCTTCCAGGTTCGTGCGGTCTGCAGTCCCCCCGGTTACCTGAGCTGAACTCGACTCACGGGGCCAGGCTGGAGGACTGTCAGTTTTGTCAGTTCTGTCAGGTCGCATGCTTGGCCATGTTTGTTGTGACAAGAGCCTAAATCCCCCGCCCAAGCCCGCCTGACAGACCTGACAAACCTTACAACCCCACTGTCAGGCCCGTTTTCGAAGACTCGTATGGCCGTGCTGGGGTCCGGGGAGCAGTTGTCAGGTCTGTCAGGTCTGTCAGGTTGGCGTGTTGGGCGCGTTTTAGTGAACAATCTGCACCAAAAGGACCCCGAGGAGCCGACTGACAAAACTGACAAAACTGACAAGCCATTTCCCGGGTCCCTGGGAGAAAAAAAAAACTGGTGGCCCCCATACCCGGCAAGTCTACGGCGGTGCCGTGGGCCCGGGATTGAAATCTCTCAGCTGCCGCACCGCCAGGGGCACCGGCCGCCGAGTCAGCCGCGCCTTAGGCTCCGCGGAGCCGCGAGGCACCGGGAGCGCATGCTTCAGCAGGGTCTCCGAACCGTCGGTGGCCCGCACCGTCATCGAGTCGTAATTCGCAACCTCCACCGCCCCGTACTGGGGCTGGAAGCTCCTCGCCGCATTGGTGGGGGCCCGGAACGCCCCCGCCTCCTCGAGCCGCCGCTGACGGCTCCTCGTCAACTCGTCGTTGTGCTTGAACTTTTGAGCATTGTCTTGATACACCCGGAAGCTCGCAGCCGGCATCGTCTCCACATCCTCGGGGGCCACCGTCACCGCCGCATGCGGCCTGGCATTGTAGGCTTCCGCCGCCTCTTCCACATGGTCGCCCCAGCCCCCACCGTCCCGGGCGACCTTGCCCGCCAGATCCTTCTTCAAAGTTTGAATCGCCCGGTCCACCACCGCCGTCGCATTGCGGTCCGAGGGGTCCTTCTGCCGGTGCACCGCGCCTCCGGGCAGCGCCGCCTCCAAACCCCGAAACTCGTTCCCCATGTCGGTCGTGACCACGACGTTGGTTTCGTCCTGGACCAGCTCGGGGATGATCTCCGCGGCCGCTCGGGTGACGGTCTCCGCCCGCTTGTCGGGCAGGGCCTTGGTGGCCACCTCCCGTGTGAACACATCCGTCACCACCAAGCCAAATTTGTTGGCTCCCCGAGTGTTCTGGCTGAAATCGATGAGGTCCGCTTGCAGGCGGTCGTTCGGCCCCTCCGCCGCGCTCTTGCCCAGACTCCGCGGCTTCGGTGCGAGCACCTGCCGCGCCACGTCGCTGCGCAGCGCCGCCGCGGCTCGCGCCGAGGTGAGGTCGCGTCGCTCCGGAAATTCACGTCGAGCGATTTGGTAGAGCTTGCGGGGGTCTCTGACGTTGAAGTCTCTAGCCAGCCTCCCTAAGAGCTCCATTGCACCGTCCTCTGCCATTTTATACTGAGGTGCATGCGCTGCTTTCGTGCAAAGGGCTGCAAACGGCAAGGCGCGGCAGGGGCTGGGCGGGGTTCCTGCTTGATGCGCTCGCCCTGCCGCCAGGAGACTTTTCTGTGGTCCATTGGCTGACGCGCACCTGCGCTCGCTACCGGGCACCGCAAGGCTGGCTGTGGGCGATTCGGACGCTGTGATCAGCTTCTCAGGCGACGCCTATGACCGCACCGCCTTCTCTACGAGCGGAAGGTGCCTCGGCTGCGCTTTTGTCGTCTCAGTCCGAGTCGCCTTTGCGCCCCTTCTTCTTCTCGAGCTTTTCGACCCGCTTCTGCAGCTTCTTGACCACGCCCCACAGCACCACGCTGAGCTTCTGATAATCGAGGGCCATCAGCTCCCGGCCGTCCAGGTTCTTCGTCTTGCACATCGTCGCTCCCAGCTTCCCGCTGGCTTGCACGTCTTGGGCCACGAAGCCGATCTGCTCCCTGCCGCCGTCGATGCGGTCGTAAAGCAACGGCTGCACTTTGTCGAAGGTCTCTTGCAGCTCCTCCTCCGGGATGGCCCGGACGTTCTCCTTGAGTGCCCGGTCCGAGAGATTGACAAAGCCATACCCGAAGATCACCTCCCCGTCGTTGCTGCCCCCGATGTTGGGCTCGATCGCCAGGTTGGCCAGGCCGTTGGTGGTGTTTAAACTTATGAACTGGAACTGCGCGTTGAGCTCGCAATTGCCGCCGGCCAGCACCTTGAGCTCCGCCACGCCCGCCTGGTTGTTGGCGTCGAGGAGCAGCTTGGCATCTCCCGTGGGCGCGGCGTTGCGCACCACGACTCCCACAGTGCCGTCCGTGGGCCCCACCGCGATCTGCTCCAGCAGCGGGCTGAGCACCTGCACGCCGCTGGTCCCCCCCGACAAGCTCAGGAAGGGCAGGCTGGCCTCGGGGCCCAGCACCCCGTTGATCCGCACGGTGTCGTCCATCAGAATGCCATTGGTGCCGCCCTGGACGGTGAGCCAGGGCGCCGCCGGATCAGAGCGCACCAGGGGCGCCTCGAGCCTGAGGTCGCTCGTGATCTCAAGATTGGCCGTCACGGAGCTGCTGCTGCTGAAGGTCCCCGTGGCAGCGGTGCTGCCCACGAAGAACTGTGCTGTGGTTGCGTTCAGGGTGCGGTCCGAGCGCACGGTGATGTCTTGCTCCAAGCCGATGCTTCCGGCAGCGAAGGAGGCCACCAATGTGCCGTCTTCGGCGCGGATGGTGGTGGTGCCGTTCCGGATTTGGAGATCGGCTGCAGCGCTCTGCAGCAGTGGTGTCTGCACGAAGCTTGTGGCCGTGAGGCTGTTGACGGTGAGGTCCGCCGTGGGGTCCACTCCTGGGCTGTTCTCCAGGTCGGTGACGCGCTGGCCCAACGAATTGAAGTTGGCTATCAATGGGTAGCGGGTGTCAGACTGTCCCTTGCTCCAGCAGTCGCAGCTGATTTGGAGGGTCGACCCATTCCCCAGGATGGGCTGGGCGGAGAGGGGCGATTGGCACAGGAGGTTTCTGATGATGCGAGGGGTGAACTGGGTCTGGACCAAATTGAAGATCCCGCCGCCCTCTGCACCGGGGCTGTTGACGAAGTAGCGGGCATCCAAAGGTCCAAGGTCGTTGGTCCTCAGGAAGCGGCCGTCCGCCTCGGCCTTGGTCCAGGAGTCGCAGCGGAGCCGCAGCGTACTTTGATTGCCCAGAATTGCGTCGCCCACCAGGGGCGCCTCCAAAAGCAAATTGCGGACGATCCTGGGGACGAATTGCTCTTGGACGAGATTGAAGATCTGTCCGGACTCCGCGCCGGGAGCCCGCACGAAGTAGCGGAGATCTGCGTCCGCCTGGGTTTGGAAGCCCGCGCCGGCGATGGCATCGTCGATCTCCGTTTGGGTGCGCCCTGACGTCCAGTATTGGGTGAGCGTGGCCGTGAGCAGGGAGTCCAGCTCCGTGCGGGGATAATACGCGAGGAGCTCGTTGGCCACGTAGCTCTGCGTCTGGGCCTGGTCGTATAGTAGCCGGAGAGATCCACGTTGCCCAGGGCGTTGGCTATCTCCTGGTCTACCTCCGCCCGCGTGTAGAAGTCCAGCAGAGCAGTTATTATCTTGCTGTCGACGACCCCGCTGGGGTCATAGCTCGACAGGGCCGAGGAAATGCTTGAGCTGACGGAGGCAGACGTCGCGTAGTTGGCCAGCTCTCCCGCCACGAAGCTCGAGACCTCGGCTTGGGTCCAATAAGCCAGCAGGGCCTGGTCGATCA